TCAAGAGGTAAACAGTTTTTCAAAACTGTTTTTGTGTTTGCATACATATATAAAAATAGATAGATAGATTAAATCCATTTAATTTTGCCGGTGCACGCATGATACACACAAATATGTATGTTTAAACTTTGAACACACACATACATACACACACACACATATAGATGGTACCCCCCCCACCCCAAAACCCACCCTTTTATTGTTTTTAGCGGTATTTACAGTGAATTCTGCTTATTTTGACGTTGATTTTTTGAGTACAAGTTTTAGATGATTTTTGCGGTTGGAATTGTTCTAATGGTTTTTTCGTCTTGCGGTTAAACAATATAAGCAAATAAGCTGTAACAATGGATGAAATATGAATTGTATGAATAGACCTCGTTCCCTTTTTCTTCCGGAAAAATTGTTTATGATATATTTTTTGAACAATGAGGTTTATATATTTGAACAATGTATATATATATATACCTACGATACCAACAAGTAGGTTTAGGGGGGGGGTCGAGCAAAAAAACTGTATTTTTTCACAACATTTTTTGTTTTTTGTCGACCCCCACCCCCCCGGGGCCCACCCGGGCCCCCCATGACCACGGGAATAAGTTGTCTTTAAAATTCCGCTCATTTGTTAATTATAAAGTGAATTTAAATGTAAATAAAGGGAAAATTTCTATAAGATATTGATTATAATGAAATTTTCCCAGTCCATCTCTTAGGATTATAGCTGTGGACCGGTCCTTTCATCCCTCTAACTCTTGGTCCACAGCCTATGGGATTTATTCTCGTGAAAGTTCTCTTAATGAATAAATCCCATAATACTAATTAACATCTTATGATAATGCCGTTTCATTTAAAAGCGATATAATTTATGAAAAGGCATGATGGCAATCTTTAATTTATATAAGATTGCCAGGTCAATGGCTAGTGTATTATATTTAATGGAGAAACGGCATATTTTTATAGATTTCTTATCTGCCGTTTCTTCTATATTATTCATTCATCTTTTTTGATAAAAGAAATATAATAAACGATGGCCAATGTATCATCGTCTATAATTAAAATAAGATAAGAGATATATGAAAAGAATAAATATTAGAATGACTTAGCCGATGGCCTCTCTTCGTCATTAAATTAAAGAAGGGTTCATGAAATATAAATATAACATTAAAATAAAGGTAAAAGCCAATAATATTGTATCTTTTCATAAGGCTTTTGCCCATAATAAAAATATAAATATATGATTGCAATTTTCTTACTAATATCTGCTTGAAAATTGCCATCAATAATAAGAAATGAAAGATATGGAAAATCCACCATTGACAAGTTCCTTCATATTTTTGCTAGTGGTGGATTTTCATTATTATTCGTTCATTCTATTAATTTCTCTTTTGCATTCCCTTTCATTTCATATAAAACAGAAATTAATTCATTCGCTTTTTTCTATTCGTACCAATAGACGCTTGGTCAGGGTAGTCTTTATATTATTGAAAAGAGTGAATGTTACTATATTTTTTATTCGGTTTTTCATTCGCCTATTGACGTACCATTCATATTCATTCATTGGTGAAGGCGTGACGACATTGAAAAACCGAATAATAAGATATAAATAACGAATAAATAGATAACAACCGCCCATTAAATCTATTATCATATTATGGGCGGAATGAATAAGAAATATACAGTGAATAATAATGCCGCAAAAATATATATAAAGGATGACTATTAATTTAATGATTTTTGCGGCAAGAAATATAATAAATGGACTTACCGATGACCTCACAGCTATTATAAATTAAAGCTGTGATTAGAAAATTAATGATAGTAAATATACAAATAAGAGGAAGCCATTATAGTATTACTTCTTGGCTGCCGGAAAATAATTTCTGTCTCTTGGAAAAATCCACCTCTTGTAAAATCACTTCTTAATTGGATTTTTCCCCTTTATTTTCATACACCTCTTAAATTAAGAGGACCACCATTTTTAACTTAAAATAAATGAAGGGGCTATAGGCTAGGTCATTATATATTATGGGCTTTTTTCTTTTATTAAACTTAGGTTGAACCGCTATGAAAAAGCAAATCCTTTTTTAGAACTTAATATCCTTGGCAAATCTCTATATAACTAATGGCTTTCCAGTTGGCAACCTTCATGTTATTGGAGATTTGCCAAATGAACAAGAAAGAAACCATTATATTAGAGGCTTTTGCAAAACCATTATTATTAAAGAGATTTCTTAAGGAGCAAAAACCTATAAAATTAAGAAGAAGATTATCAATGACTCGCCATCAAGAATCTTATAATGAAATGAAATGGCGATTCAAGATAATAAATAATCTATATAATCTATGCCAATGCCAATAAAAAAATAAAAGAAGAGAAATATAAATATATGGCATTGGCGATGAATGAATTTCCCAATCATCTTAATGCTGTAGGTTACCAAAAAAAAGGAGGTCAATAGGAAATTCATTCATCTATAATATCAATGGCCTTTGTCATGAAGGAAAATATCAATTAAACAGATAAAGGCCATATATTTAAATTAAAGGTGAAGAGAAATGGAAATTCCCAAGGGATAAAGTAAAATAACGTAAACCAACAATAAGATATTAAATTAATGGGACTTTCCTTAACAATAAGAGATATATAAATAAAATAAGAAGAATTAGTAAAAGAAAAGAGATAATGAAATCAAATAAAGAGAAATAGAAAATGATTCATTCTTGATTCTTAAGTTACAAGCCTTTGGACCGGGGGCTAGTTAAGGATATGAAAGATATGAAAAATATTGAAGAAGAATCCTCGTTTTTTGGTCCTCTTAATTTTACAGCATTAAGTTATAAAAATGATTGTCTCTTCACTAAGCTCATCTCTATCTTTTAAATCTATGGTTCAATCTTTGGATGAGGTCATCTGTAATTAAAAGAAATCTATGCTATCAAAAAGATCTTTGTGGTGCAAGGTTCTGCTTATATAACATTCTGCGTATTATCTGAAAAGCTGTCATCTCTACATCAAGGTCTCAACATGTTAACCCTATGGTACAACACAAGACTGTACTCAAAACTTCCCACTCAAGTGGTGCAAGGTGTTTTTTTTGGGGGGGCTAGCATATAGATATATATACACACTATAGTATCCTGGAGTGCAGGTAGGGTTGGCTGGATGTTTATGTTGCGGGTCCTTGGGTCTTGCGGAAACATGGCCGCAGGTCTTTTGGTTATTTTCTGGCAGATGGATGGCCGATCCACGGATTCGGTTGCTTCATTGATCGTTTCATTCACCATACTTTGCGGCGTGGGTGTTGGCGTGATGGCTTGGTCCAAGCCGCATGGTCAGAAGGAGGGTAGGCAATCTTTCAATGACGTGGAGACGCAACAAGGTAACTGAACAAATTTCATCAAGGTTCTGAGTTAAAACTGGGCCGGGAGAGGCAGAGAGAGAGAGAGAGCCATCGCGGGAGGGAAGGAGGGAGAGGAGAGAGGGAGGGAGGGAGGGAGGGAGGGAGGGAGAGAGAGAGACTGAGACCAAGACCTCGCACGGTCAAAACACAGGGTGCCAAGAGTGAAGCATAACTTGCATCCAGCTCACAGTTTCCTAATTGTTTCTTTGTGCGGCGTCCATTGGATCTAGAAATTCTGCTGTTCCTTAGATTTCTTGCGCTCAGAAAGGTCGGGGATAACATGCGTTGCCATGCCTGTTTTGTGGTTAATTTGATCTGTGGCATTGAGTTTAGCCACCCGCTTAACACAGCTAATGCGGCGGACCAAGTCGATTCACTCATTTCCAACTGGAGCTCTCGCCACAAGAGAATATTGCAGTGCCCTGAAAAGGGATTTTGCCACGCTACTTACGCACATGGTGGCTACTTCGAGAAATCGAAGCATCAAGGGCTCGCAGGCGCCACAGCACAGTGAACCTGGCTGAAAGCAAAATCACTTGGCGTTTACCAAGTTCGAAGACAGACCAAGCAGCATTAGGGGCCGGTGAGATGTCCAGAGTAGTAACTTTGAGATGATGCAGCAGTTGACCCTGGCCTGGGCATTTGGAGGTATTTTGGAGTTGGGCATTACGTTTGCATATATACCTTTTGGAAGTGGATCTACAATGAGGTACTTCCATGTTAGTGGGTAAGAGGGTACATATTTGTCTCCGCCAACAGCTTGGAGATTACAGTAGAGTCCTGCCCAATGCTGAGATTACCACCAAATTTTTGAGTAAGCACCAGAGGAGTAAAATCACTGATTGTAGAGCAGTTGGAAGACAGAGTACTAGCTCAGGCCGAAGCCAAATAATGTTTTGTGCCACACTGCTCGACCCGTTTCCGGACTGAGTGAGTTGCAAGCAACATCACATAGGCTGATATAGGTCTTTCCCCATGTCATGGGTGTTTGATGGGCAGAGAAAGGCTCCTGCCAACGCCAAAAGGGCAGCCAGCCTTTGTTTAAGTTGGTGCACGCTTGATCCAGAGCCAAGGCAGGCGTGGCAGTTCTGGACCTCGCGGAGGTCAACGGACGAGCTCCTTCGTGCCATTCCTTTGGCTGAATACATTCGAGAGCCGCCGTGAAGCCGCCGTGAGGGCACCTGGCAAGTTGGGGGTTTTAAGGCTGATCAGGTGATATTGATCAGCCTCCCAGATGTTGCACGCATATGTCGGCTTGTTCTGTCCAGAGCCTGGCTTTACTGTGGATGTTGTCGTATTTACGTATTTGTGCGACAAGCTTTGCATGTGTGAGTAGGGCAAGAGCCTTGCGTGCTTGAATATTTCTCCTTTAGATGCTACCGCCAGACGGGATGAAGCAAACAGCATCACCCCGGACGTCAATTATTAGAGTTTCACTTGTGGAAGCTCAGTTGGTGTGCCGACACCGCAGGAGTGAAAAGGACTCCAGGTTTGTGCCCCTCCTGGTTCAGAACAAATGCGCACTTTGTGGTGTTGCTGCAACTTTGGCACATGGAAAACACATCCACTCACAGGCTGAAACTGCTCTTCCAAACAGTTCAGGACGGGTTTGTGCAGCAGCGTCTTGGAAGCAGCTGGAGGGCAAGGAGGCACTCGGCGGAGAAGAGGTCGACATATCTATGGCAGGCGCGTCGAAGTCGTGGCGGATAAGAATTGGAGGAATCCAGAGCACAGTGGAGACGTGCATAGCAGTGCTGTTTTCATGAACTGGAGGACTATGGTTCCTGAAGATGATGATACGGACGCCGCCTTAGTTGTATCATGTCAAATCATATATGCCAAATTCAAGAACGCATGAGGGCAAGCTTGTCCGAGTTGGAGTTCCCAATGCCCATTGCAAGTAGTGCGCAAGTTCATGTTGCATGGCCAAGCACCTGAAGCAAATGCAACGATTCCATACAAAACTAAAGAGCCCGGACCATTTGTCAAACATGCAGCATGCATGTTTAGGTCCAGGACATGGACGAGCTGGACTGACGACTTTCATGAACGGGCAGCTGAAAGAGATGACTGGAGCATGCTCCAGCCACGCTCAAGCCGCGCAGAAATCAGCTGACATTTCGTTAATTTTACTGTGGTTTGGTTGATCCAAGTGTGGAGCAGGAAGAAAAACCTGCAAGCAATTCCAAACGGTTGCTGCAGCATGCTGTATCGCTTCATTTCTGATGCTAGCTAGGAAGGTCTTCAAGGATTTCCCGACTGTTGAGAATGAATTCAGGGAAGGTAGCTCAAATTCTGGGCTTAGACCCCTGCATGTGGATGAGTTCAAGTGTGCGGCCGCCCCAAAAAGAAAGCCTTCAGAGAGAGCTAGGAAAGCCTAACAAAGCATTTCGGCTAGCCCGTCATCCCTTGGGCTGTTTGTGGGATTGCAACTTCATGCTGCTCAATGGTGTGTGTGCCAACGATCCAGGAATAGCAAGGTATTGAACAGAAGGCGCGGTGGAAAAGCCTGGAGTAAGACTTTAAGACTTGGGACGTGACGGAATCCTGACAATGCAAGGCATGGACAACGACCCTTTGCACTTCGTAGCTCAGAGGCAGGATTAAAGCATATTAGACCACTTAAGTTTCCCTAAATCTAGGAACCAAATGAATAGTGCGTGAGCTATCCTGTGTCCATACTAGTAGCTACTCAAGCTACTAGCTACCTCTAGCTACTAGCTACCTCTAGCTACTACCTCTACCCAAAGAAAAAGAAAGAAAGAAAGAAAGAAAGAACGATGGAAGGAAGGAAAGAAAAAAAGAAAAGAAAGGAACATAAAAGAAAAGAAAAGAAAGAAGGAAAGAAGGAAAGACAGACAGACAGACAGACGGACGGACGGACGGACGGACGGACAGACAGACAGACAGAACAAAACACATAACTGAAGCATCAAGTTCTGGAAGGTGCCTCGCAGGCTCGACTGTTTGGGTGGCGCAATTCTTGGAGTAATATACGAGAGGACCGAAGTAGCGATGAGACGAAGATCTTCCTTCTCGATCCTTCTCGTGGTACTCCAGGAGCAAAAGAAAAGCAAAAAGACAGCAAAGAAGCAGTCCATGAACTCAAAATTTGATGCTTATTTTTGGGAACATATTTTTGGACAATACATGTTTAACAATATTTTTTAGATGTAATTTAAATGTTGCAGACGGACTTGAAGGTCGTACAAGGAATCGTAGCACTACCACTGCTGCCCCGGTCGCTGGCACTTATGATGGAGCTGCTCTGGATGAGTGCGACACTCAGTCAGCTGTAGCAGCTGCTTTGTAGCAGCTCTAGCTAGCTGCTCCAATCTCCTCACTACTCAGTCACTGATCCAAAAGCAGCAACAGCTTGGCTGATGAAGCTTTGTTTCAGCAACCGCGTTTCAGCAACCATGCGCGCTACGCTTCAAAAGCCATGTGCATTTCAGAAACCACACTTCAGACATCACGCTTCTTGAAATATGGGTGGCAACCCTTTGGCCGCTGTGCGATTTTGGAGCCGTTTTTTCTCAAACTGATATTCTGGTTGCAGCGTGAAGCATATTTTCAGAAATGGGCCAGTAAATTAAATTCCATGATGGGAAACTTGGACAGCTACGCGTTTCGTAAGAAGCGGAGTATTGCAAAATAGACCGACGCACCTGCTCTCCGGGTGTATATGGGATCCACACCACCACCACCAGTGTTTCGGATCTCAACGTCAATGAACCTAATCAATGAGTTTAGTGAGGCACCGTGGCAGGAAAGACACAGACCCATCCAAAAAGTCAGAAAATCAGAATTGTCAAGCTGGCGAACCAGTGAAAGTCAGCATGTGTAATGAAAGTCAGCATGTGTAACAGGTGAAGTGTGCATGTGCAACAGTGAACCTGGTAAACACAAACAAAACAGCACACACACACATATGAACCCACGTCCCCGGGTGTTAAGATGTTTGTTCCGTATGTTGGAACCGTAGTGTTTGGGCTTAAGCTTGGATGGACCGGTGCCGTGGGTGCCATCTGTTCGACAAGCCCGTGGAGGACGACCTTTGCCGTGGCTGCAGGTCCGTTCGACGGATCCGTGACTTCTATTGTGGAGGATTTTTACTCCGTTCACAGGAGGCGAGAGCGGTAGCTGCTCTTAGATCCTGCGTGGGGGAGCTCACGGACTTGGCTGAAATTGCCTCCCCAATCTTGGAGAAAGAAAAAGCCGAAGCGGACCCAGCAGCCGAAAAGTCTAAGGATTTGAGCGGGAAGCCATCGGCTCCTGAGGTTGGAGGTGGACCCGAGGCACCGGTTGTCAAGACAGAGGCCGTCGAGAAGGACGAGAACGCCAACGAGACTCCAGGAGTCAGTGAAGTAGCGGACAAAGAGGAGGACGCACAGGGTGAGAAGAAAGAAGAAAAGAAGAAGAAGAGAAAGAAGAAGCATCCAGATCAGAAGCCGTCAAAGAGGCGACTTGAGAAGAAGGAGAAGAAGGCAAGAGAGAGAGAGGCACAGATTGCAGAGGACAAAAAGGAGAGCCTTCCGTCGAGGGACGAAGCCATTGCGGCTCGAGTCCTAGACCACCTGGCAATCAAAGCCCCATCATCAGTGGGGTTAGTCCCCGTCCCTAGAGGGAGTGTCGCCCGTCATTACGAACATCTACCACCGCCTCCTCCGGCGCCCAAGCGGCCCAGGTCTCCTGACCATCCGCCTGGAAGAGGAAACGAACGTGGCAGGTATCGAGACTATCGTGGACGACAAGGACCCGGATCGAGCAGTCGACCGTCAGGTCAAAAGAAACGTGGATCGAAGGGTGCAAAGCATCGTGAGCGAGGTAGGACGTGGCCTTTTCGCGCCCCCTACTGAACCCGATGGCGCCAAAAGCACGACCAGCCGCAAAGGGCAAAGCGAAAGCCAAGGCCATGGTGGTGAGGCCGAGGCGAGTGGACAGAGGGCGAGTGGGAGCGTTGAGGCGTCCGGCGGGAGCACCCCCAGGCGGGGAAGCTCCTGGGGCGTTAGCGCGCTGGACGGCCGGCGAGGAGATCAAGGTGTCGGAAATCCCAATCGAGCACGTTGGGGTTGGGACAATGATAGAGGTGACCGATGGAAGTTACTTCGGGTCTCCTTGCAAGGCAGCAGGACAGCTCCAGTCGATCGATGTACAACTGGATGCCGTGCACTTCCGTCTCAAGTTGACGGGCACCACCAACGAGGAGTTGCTGAAGCACCAGACCGGAAGCCCCTCGCAATTGGTGAGGGTCCACCGCTGCCCGAGCGATTGCACAGCCGAACGCATGGCCGAGGACCTCCTCCATGCCTTCAAGATGAGGAAGCTAGGCTTGGCCCACCCGGAGGAGGGGTGGGCCAGGAATTTGGTGGTAGTGGCCGCCGACGACGAGTTAGGAGCCCTCAGATCACGGGGCGAAGCCCTCGCTCCTGTCGACCCCGGGAGAGAGGGAGTTGTCGAGAAGAAGGACGACAAGGCCAAGAAGACCGAGAGGAGCCCGAGCAAAAGAAGGAAGAAGGACAAGGACAAGAAGAAGTCCAAGAGATCAAAGAAGAAGAAGAAAGAGTCCGGGCGCAGTGTCAGCTCGGGAGGTCGTGGCCGCAAGAAGACAAAAGAGGAGGAGGACAAGAAGCGCCGGAGATCATCGACCTCGAGCAGCCAGTCAGTACAACTGACTGGCAAGTATCCTCGTGCGGCCTCAACAAAGTCGTACGAAGCTCTCTATTCGGGGACCGGCCTGGACAAGAAAGAGCGGGTCAGACGACGGGTTCTGAAGAAGGCCAAGCGGGCGGCTCGCAAAAAGACCAAGGAGAAGTCGTCGGACGGGAGCGACAGCTCCTCGGATCAGAGTGTGTCGGATTTGGAAGCAGAGGCCGAGGACACGTTGTTCGAGGGAGAGACCAAGGTGCAGCGGATCGCTCAGCGGTGCCCAGGAGCACTAGCCTATCAAGCATTGGCCATGATGCGCTCCAACCTCCTGCAAGAAGCGGGAGCCCCTCGGGAGGGGGGCTCCTTGGAGCCTATTGCGCTCATGTATATGCGGCAGCACCTCGTCAAGAAGGCCAATGGTCCAGCACTTCGAGAAATCCTCACATTGTCGATAGCAGTGGACCAGTTGCTGAATTCTCGACCGGCGAGAGCGCTGGATACACTGCTGCAGAGATTGAAGTCGGTGGAAGCCGGCCTGAATGGCGCCCACTGGTCAGTGGCACAGAAGCTGGAAGTAGGGCCGACAGAGAACCTGATGCTTACAGCCCAAGAGGAATTGAGCTCAGCACAAAAGGAGGCTTATACAGACGCTCGAACAAAGATGTTGGCAGGCCTGTCCGAAGGCCGACCAAAAGGCTATGCAAAAGGAAGCTCCAAGAACAAAGACGACGGCAGGCGAGACAGAGATCGTCCAAAGGGGAAAGACAGCGGAAAGGGCAAGAGCAAGTCGACCAACAAGGAGGAGCAGTCGAGCAAATAGAGGCTCCTGGCAACGGGAGACCAGAGATTGACTATGAGGCGGCGTTGAATTTTGGTTGGGTCAGCGGTGCGAGGGACCGGCCGGGAGAGGCCGAGATCGCACTGGGTGGTCCTTCTGGACAACTGACGCACACCCCACAGGCTGTTGTAGATCAGCCAGTGGATGAGGCCCCTTTGTTAGAGGCCGATGGGTGCAACACCTTCCCGCCAATACCCCCGCCATTTGTTTGCGAAGTGGGTACGGCGAAGGCATCGGACCTCGTGAAGAGCGATGCAAAAAAGGAGCGCTTGGGGAGTGATCTCGAGGGTCGATCGATTGGCGTACTGGGGGGCTGGGTGGTACAGAGGTTTCTGGAGGTGGTTCCACTTCGCAGCTTGTTCACGGGCAAGGGTGGAAATAGAGACATCTTTCCTTTGCCTACCTCCTTTGACTTCCTGGGGAGCCTCTGGCCTTCTAGGTGCCGGAATCAGATCGACTGGATGGTTTGCATGACTACTGCACTGAATTCATTTTGGGGTGAGGAGCTTTTTGGAAAGGACGAGGTTTCTGAGATTCAAATCAAGGTGCT